GGAGAAAACCTCAGAGATTTTCTATAAAACAAAGCCATGCAAAATTTGAAATACTGAAGTAGGATCTTTCAATGGGAAAACCAAGACACTGCTCTATTCAACAATGAAAGCTTGCAAAGGGAGTCATTAACTCCTGTAGTTTACAAGAGAATTTTTAAACCTGCTATCACTAACTGTTACAAGGAATTATTTCTTTATCTAATCTCAACTTTAAATGAAGTTACTAGTTTACACTAGTAAAGGTATCAATTGATTAAGAGCATAATTTTATTGTAATAGCCAACAAAGTAATCTAATGGTCTCTGCTTCCAGGCTGTACTCAGAAAACAGCTTCAGGACTCTTCAAATCAGTTCCAAAATAAAGGAAAAAAGAATAAAAAAAAACCAACCCCCCCAAAATAAAATAAAAATAAAAATAATAATAATAATAATAATAATAATAATAATAATAATAATAATAATAATAAAAAATCATGGAGATGCCTACTTTACACCTTACTTTTTCCATACCTTAGTATTCAAAATCAACAATTATCTTTGAATTCTGCCTGCCTTCCTCCAGGCAAAATCCTGACTACTTAACACCAAGGAAATAAGCAAAACAAAAGCAATAACTAAATTTGTGTGTACTCGACCATCATTTACCAAATGAAGCAAACAAAACACTGAGCCAGCCATGAAGGCATTTCCAGCTCAGAGTGACTTGTCCATAAAAGGAATCCTCCATAAATAAATTAGTGCTCTCTCCTTCCTGCCCATATGGAATGAAAAGGAAAAAACAAATTGACATAATGAAAATAACTCCCCCCTTCCTGTTCTACGACCTACCATGTGGGGAAAACCACTAGAAAACAACAGTAAACGATGAGGTGCAAAAGGAAAACAGGAGCACTATTGGCAGGCTTACAGGTGCACAGAAAATTACAGGATGGTTTATGAGGGCCATAATCTCTTTCCCTGGGATGTGTGTTACCTTACACTCACCATGGGCTGAAGTCATGCAGCTACAAAATATTCAACACACTGTGATTTCACTGCTCATTGCAGGGTTTTGTCTATACACAGCTTATAATTAAGAAATATTGTAAAAAAAAAAAAAAAAAGGCGGTGAAGAATTTGCAATGGTATTTGGGGTAAGAGATGTTGAAGTTTACCTGAAAGACATTTTTCAAATGTACATCAGCTATTTCAGCATTTAGTTGCCTGTATCATTCTTTGAAAACTGTTGTCATGGCCACATCATTATTGTACTCTGCCCAAATTCTGCTCACAAGAAACAGTAATACAAGACAAGCTGTGCTGCCATCTTAGCAACTGTCTCAATGCTCTCATATCCACAGAAATAACAAAATCAGTATAACAACTTCTTCCCTGTTTCAAACAGCTGCCTGTACACATTAAACAGATGTGTGCTTCTCTGAATTTTGTCATCTATCTTAGCAGGTGCTTTATACCATTTGTATTCTAGTATGAAATGTTTTCTTTCCCAAGAACAGATTCTGTCAAATTGGGATTTTTGCTTTTTCACTATTAAAAGACACTGTCAGCATCAGAACCTGATAATCCAGTGATGTGGGGCAGGGAGGGAGGCACCTAAATCTTTCTGCACCTCACCTCATGTTATGGACAGAGAAGATACCGTGTCCATGAACACTTGAAGTCTTCCTGCAATTTTCTTAAATTAAATATAAGTACCCACAATTGCACCTCTTTGGGAACAGATCTAGCTTTAAAAGTAGAGTAGGATTTATTCCAGGGAAAAGAAAACAAATAGTTGAATAAATTTCTCAAATGTTTAAAGTAGATATATACTAAGAAAGTAATTTGATATCAAGTAAATTAAACTTACTTTTTTGCTTTAAAATTCTGCCAATATATGAAAGCAATGTAAAATATAAGGTTATTTAAGTTTTTCAGTAAAATATAAGATTGTTTTTATTCTGGCTCACTTTCAGAGTTATAGATGATAAAGGGAAAAATAAAGGGTAACCAATGGCATCATGGAAAAATCTATGATTTCAGTCAGTCAAGCTGATCAGTATTCTGGAATAACAAACAAAAAAATACCCTCAAAGAAGTAGCCATACAATAAAAATACCAAAACATAAAATTATTGCCATCTCTTCTAAACAGGAAGGGCTTTTAAGATTTGGTATAATATACAGTTAACCTAACTAGGTCACATATACAATTTATAAAAGAAATGTTTTAGGGCAGTATCTCATGTGTCTGTTCTAAGCCAGTGGCAACTCTCTCACATCTGACAAGAGCAGTGTTTAGTTTCACATGCTTATTAAGCACTAAGCTATAAGTATTTCACAAGCAGATCATTAGCCAGACATTGTTTCTACATAAAACCATGGATCTGATTTTGTAAAATATAAAACATTCAACAGAAATTAACAGGCAAAATTGTTCCACAATCTGACAATACATATAACAATGAATTCTCTGCATTTCCCTCCTAAAAGTGTTCTGGAAAAATACTTGGAAAGGTAACTACATGACAGTTCCTGAAGGACAGCTCTACCATGGATAGCAACACTCTTTTCCTACATATATATTCAATCACATCCTTGCTCCCAAAATAAGAATGGCTTTATAAATTAATATTATTTATTTCTGCTAGCAAGTGGGAGTCAATTCAATAATCAGACAGGAAGCCAGACTACTGTGGTTCATGCATCAATGATATTGATGCAACCAAATTGTCCTTCTATTTCTTCATTTACTTTTTCAATTTGCCTCTAATGGAAACAGCCACATAATTTAAGGACCAGGAACTTGTACACAAAAGACAAAGGCAAAAATTAAGTCAAAAGAATTGTAAACCATGATGTAAAATCCAGAAGAGAATAAACACATCAGAGTAAAAACTAAGTTACATAACTAACAGGTAGAAAATCTTTCACCCTGTAAAATAAATCAATATGAAGCAGAGCTGATACGACAAACCCACTACATTTATGATCACTTATTTTAAGAAGCACCATTTAAACTTCAAATATATGTTAGCATTGCAATGAAAACAAAACAGAACCCTAACTGCTCTCTGCACATTATATTTCATCTTCTTTATGCTCTACAGTAGGATTTCATAAATACTAGGAAATTAACTATGTGGTAGCTTACTGATGAGCTCAAGAGCTTGAGCACTTAACTGATTTACATAAAATTGTGTGAAGCTGAAGTACTCCTCTCTTCAATCCTCAACTTACATAACAACAGTATGTGAGACAAAACACTTTTTTTTTTTAAATAGTGCTCAGAGGTATTTGGAGAACAATCTCTACTTTCTGAAACATGCTAAGATGTGGTAATAGTGCAATTTAAAAATATGCAATAAATGGAGTGGCATAACTTTTAACCACCAAACCTTGAGCTACAAGCTATTCCGTACCTCACACTTACCAAAAAACTCAGATACATACAAGTTATGTCAATAATAAGTCTTGTCTCAAGATTTTTAGTTATGAGAAATTCCTGTATGTCATTAAATATTGGAAAAGATTTTTCTATTTCAGAATATAGAAAAAAAAAGATACAATCCATTAACACAGATTTTACTCTAAAAATTCTTGTGCAGCTTGAATTTTAGAATTTTCTACAGCAGGCACAAAAATGAGCACAGACTTCGATTAGAAGTTAAGTTACACAGCTTTATCCAGAGAACTTCAGTTGAAATTTTATTTCAGCTCACTGCTTTTATTAATTAGCCTTTTCCTTTAAAAATGTAATTAAAAAAGACAAGTGGACATTCCATTTCTCAAGTTATAATCAGACTACTCCATGAGAGTAGCACAACCAGAGATAGTACCCCTACTCTTCCCCCAGCTGCTTATACTCAGATGTTATTGCCCAGCATTTGGAGACTGCCAGCAGCACTCAGGAACGTGGGGTGAGCTGGGACCACGGGAACTGGCGAGATGCAGAGCAGGCTCCCCCTGAGCATTATTCATTTGCTTTACAGGCAGTCACAGCACCCACCTTCAATCTGGTTTTGAAAGCTTCTGATCCAGTATTTAGGTGACAGCTTGGCCTACTCTCAATCCAAGAAAGTTTTTCAAACCTCTTTGGGTGCAACATACAAGACTCCAGCTGCTTATAATGGGAAACCAGTCTGAACTCCTGGCCATCCAGGCACACTCAACACGGGACACCAGAGTTGCAGCAGTTAATGCAGTGCCTCTGATGCAAGAGGGAATTAAGCAGCAGCCTTTCCTAATCACAGTCTGCTCACTTGAAAGTCAGAAAGGCAAATGGGCCCAGTTGTGCAACTTCTTCAAAGGCAAAGAGCTGAACTGTTTGCAACCAGCATATCCCTCTTCGCACCTCCCACACCCAAAACAGGGCTCTAGCTCTAGTAACTGGTAAAAGTACTTGCACACAGCAGTTTCACACTCATTGAACCCAGGTTCCTCAAAGAAAAAGTTGACTTTTTTTCAATGACTGTGGTATTTGAAAATACTTAGCAAAGGTTTCATCTTGTGTGCTCTCAAAATACCATGATGGATTGTCAGCAACTCCTGGACCAGCATAGGACATCCCCAGGAGTCACACTATGTGCCAAAGAAAGTTGTTCAAATGCCTCTTGAACTCTGTCAGGCTTAGTGCTGGGGAACCTGTTCAAGCTCCCAACCACCCTCTGGGTGAAGAACCTTTTTCTAATATCCAATTTAAACCTCCCCTGACTCAGCTTCATGTTATTCCTTTGGGTCCTGTCACTGATCAACAGAGAGATCGGTGCCTGGCCCTCCATGTCCCCTCTCAAGAAAGCTCTAACCACAGTGAGGTCTCCTTCAGCCTCCCCTTTTCCAGGGTGAACAGACCAAGTGACCTCAGGCACTCCCCATATGGCTTCCCCTCAAGGCCCCTCATTGAGCTCCAAGGAAAACATTGGGATGAAAAAAAAAAATAAAATCTTTAAATATATAAAATCGGATTCCAGACATACACAGAAAAAGCAAAATGAAAGAAAAAACCATACAAGATATACATACCCAGTTTTAGGGCAGAAGGAGTCACTTCAATCTCACCAATGGGCTGAAATGCAGCCAGTTGAGTCGCTACCTCTGTCTCAAAGGAGTCTGGGCTATTTCTGTCTTTCAAATTCCCATTGGTGCCATCAGTCTTACGGGGAGCTTCTTGTTCGTCATAAACGGCAATCAGCTATCAAAATAAAAGATAATGCAGTTTGCATATTTAAAGTATTTCCAAATTTCACTCTGTAAAAAAAACCCAAAAACTTATACTTCCTTTAAAGTACAAAAATAATAATGATCTTATTTCAGAACAGCAAACAACAAACACACTGATTCCAGAAAGCACAGACATTTGTGTTTAGATGCATTGACTTCAATATGACTTAAGTATATGCTTCAGCACTGCCCTGTGCTGACACACATTTCCCAGAGTTAGCATGCTACCATTAGTGAGCATTTTACTTTATTTCAAAACACTTACAGATGAGCATGTTTAAAAACACAGAACAGCATTTAATTCTTGGGGGGTAGAGGGTGTTATTAAGTTTTTTAAAATGTAGAGCTACTGACTGACATGCTGTACAAAGGTAACACAACCGCAGAAGCTGCACTGAGCGAGCAGATGCACATTTTATTTGTAAGAACATAATAACTACATTCCAAGGACAAGATCCATCCAGCACAATGACAGAGCATGAGGCTTCCCTAGCTGTCCAACCTGTGTTTCTGTAAGGATGAACGTTTCTTGGTCTAGCACAGCATACATGCACCCAGCTCTTCTCTACCCACCACAACCCTTCCTCCCATCCTGCCCTGCAAGCCTGGACCAGGTATATGTTTCTGAAAATTGTCACTCAGTCACTGGCTTTTACACTACTTCAGGCACATGGGAAGGCTCCAAAGTCTGCTGTCCAAGGTCACACCAATGTGGCCAAGAAAATGATTTTAAAAAAAACAGATTTTTTTTTTTTTTTTTTTTTTGCCTCTGTTAACCTGGCCTTTCAAAAAGATCATCCTTTTGGTCTCTATTAATATAAAGTGATTAGACTTTATGGTTATGCAGCCTCATCAAGAAGTGACTCACACGTGGCTGGGTGTAAATTGTATTAAAGCTCCAGGAAAGCGGTTAAGCATGTCACACCTCTGGGAAAACTAACCAAAATATGATTAAAACAAAATAGAGGACATGATGTTCTCAGCTCTGGGATGCTTAGCACTCCGGAGTCCCCTCCAAAAGCAGAGGAGGTAAGAGCAGCAGTTCAAGTGTTTTCCCTACCCTACCACCTGACATGACATAGCTCTTGTGCCATTTAAATGGCAAACACTTTGCCTAAGGTGCTCATTTATTTTACTTTTCCAAACTCCTTCAGATTATCCTACTGTTTTCCCAGCTAATCATGAAAAATACCACAACACACACAACTGGTTAGGCAACATCAAGACATACACAGAAACAAGTTTAAAGGATTGATTTACTACTTTTTCTCTCTCTCTGTTATTTTAAGGTCTGCATATGCTCTCTCTTATAAAAATATTAGTACATCAAATCTCCTCTGACACTTCCAAGAACTGTCAACAATTATATCCTATGAAAAACAGTATACTGAAACAAACATTTAAACAAACTCATTTGCCCAAGGGAAGAAATGAATGTATGAAGGAAAAGGAAAGAAAAATCCTAAAGTGCTTCTAAAAGGAAGAAGCTGACATTTTCAGGTCTTCCACTCATTTATAATTTGGTTGCTAGAAATGTGTCAGCTCATATTTACCAAGGCACATTTCAGAGACACATAAAATCCTTTAAATAATTAGGTAGAAAACTTGCTCTCTTTTTCCATGTGGAGCCTGCTTCCCTTCCATGGCCATACAACTAAGTTTTTACAATACATAATTTGCTTTTTACTTATCCAAATCCTCTAGAAAAGATTTACTCCAGTAACAAGGACAACTCTCTTTGTAGTTTATTCCTGCATAGTAAAGTACCCAAGTGTTCACACTGCATTCGTTATGTCCCAAAATTACATATAGCCAAAAAGGCTGACTGAGATCCAGATACAAACAGATCACAGCAATTTTCCCCAGTACCAAGAAGAAACAAATCAAAACCCCCATCTTATTGTATCTTTCATTTGTTACTAAAATGACTATTCATGTTCCTGCTATTCTGGCAGCTCATCCTGATTTAGTAAGTTCCACCAGCATTGTACACCAAAATGTTTGCTTTCTCACTCTCTTTAACTGTGGAAATTTAATTTCTGCAAAAGAGGCTGTTACTAATGAAGAGGAAATCGGTGATTGTGTAGGACTGGGGCACTGAAAGCACTTTAGGTAATAGCAGGATACAAAGTTCATTTGAGCATCCACAGTGTAGAATGGAATACATGGAACTCAGTTGTAATTTGATGGGAACAACCAAATTCCTCAACCAAACAAAACTTGGTTTCACACCACAGAAATCATATTAAATGCTATATTACTTTGGAATATTCTACGCTTACTCCTCTGGGATGTTGCGGAGATGAAAAGCAGGATTTGGTTAAAAAGAAATTAGACAAAGTCATGGAAAACACCAAGAAGAACAGTTAAATACATACGTACAAGCACTACTTCAGTCTCAGAAACCTCCAAAACATGTAGTAGTATAAGGGCAAACCAGGACAAACTGATGCTGTAATTACTCTACTTCTATGTGTTTTCTGCAAGTTTTTTTCCAATGGTCACAGGCAGAGACCAGGGCAGCAGCCATGTACATACTGCAGTTTCTAAGCACCACATCTTTCCTCTGGTCCTCTGAAGTTCCAATGAATCTTGTGCAGAAAGGATAACATACAATTATTTTAACAGGCAAGTCAGGTCCCAGACTCCCAACACTGAGATAGGGCAGGCACCTTACCCACCCACCTGCCCCAAGAGGCTGACTGAATCAGGGCCAGCACAGCCTTTCCCCAGCATTCCCAGCAAGGCTGCTGCTCCTCACCACGGGCACCTGTCACTGACCCAGGGTGGGTGACCACGTCCCCACAGCTCCTTTCCCCTGTGCAGGGACACAGGTCAGCGGGTGCTGCCCCTGAGGGCTGAGGGAGTCCTGCATTCAGAGGCCCTGCCCTGCAAGAGGCCAGGGGCATCACTGGTGCCCACCCCACCTGCGGAGGGTCCAGGCTACAATAAAGTTTTGATTGCAATGACAATATCCTCATGTTACCGAGGGTCCCTAAAGCACCTGCCCTAGCACTAGGTGATACTGCCCAAGAGCTGAGGTTACAAGTTCCTTCCTCGACACCTGCTCAGAAATGAGCTGGGCTCTGGCAGGTTGAGGGGCAGAAATCACAGTGCTCCAGTTCAGATAAAGCCCCCAGATCTTCTCCTTCTGTGGAAGGATTACAAACAAGTGATTCCATGCTTCTGTCAGCTCTGCCCCTTGCGTCCCTGCCAGGTCCCCGTCCACAAGAAGGTTCAGCACATGGAGACATGCTGGCTCCTCTCCTCCCAACTCCTGCAGCAGAGGCAGGAGAAGAGATGACAACATGACGCCCCTTCCCAATTGTACCCACACCAGCACTCTATTTCCACACTCTGAGCCCAAGCAGACAGGGCACAATTGCAAGCCAACACCTGCAATGCAGCCTGGCAAACAGCTGGAGGAAGATTCCACCTGAGCCAGACCACATCAGCACAACACCTGCCTGAAAACAGGAGCCCTCTTACTGCTGACATTCTGTGAGTGACTTCTGAGAGAAACCCACAGATCCTTAGTCTACACCCAGGCACTCTTTTGACAGATTAAAAAAAAAAAACAAAACAAGGAAAATCTATCATTCTTTACAGTATGGAACACACTAGTAATTAAGTAACATGATCTAAACTCCCATTTTTTTACAGAGTGTGGAAAGGAGATGCTACACTACTGCCTGTGTAGGTAGCAAAGATATGATGCCTTTCCTCCCTAGTGAAATAAAAAGCCTTTTTCTAGAATGTTTATTTGGGAGAGAACTCCTCAGGACCACAGTTGCAGCAGCTATTCTAACAGTTATCAGTAGCAATTCTAACACAAATACACTGCTAATCAATCAAAGTATTATAAATATCTGTTTCAGCCTTTCAAAGGGAATTAATACAATTAAGGTTATGTAAATTAACTACTCAAAAATAATTCTCATAATTGACTTCTCATTTCCAGTATGGAAAATTCTTTAATTGGAACAGACTGCCAAAATCTTCTGATTGAAAAGAATTTCAGGATGCATTAAGAAATCCCCACAAACATATCAATAAAACACCACCACAGCTTCCAACACTAGTTTATTCTTTACCAGTTTAATATTTACAAATACTGAGAATTCAGTAGATCGGCTGATTAGGGTTTTCTTAACACATTGAAATATTACTGCAGACATTTGTAAATTGATCAATTTGTACAATTTTGTACACTTACTGTAGTCAGGCATCTCTTTTTCAAAGGTTATTTAAAGAGCATGAATATTTATTGTGAAAGGTATTTCTATATAGGTGAAATAGTTTTACAACCATTATTACTGTTATTAATAATATCTATTAACATCCTACCAGTTACACAGAAAATCAATAAATTATCAAAATTTAGTACTAATCCATCATTTCTGATTACTAAATTCTCTCTGCCAATACTGACACAGTCGCAACACAACGCAGCAATGACAAACACTTCCATTTTATTAGCATTTTTGGTGGTACCTTATTACAAGGCATGGTGATACAGCCAAATTTTAACTTTGGATGCTGCCCTATGGCACAGTTCTTCCAATACTTTACTGACATTTCAATTGCAAAGCTTGCAGAAAAGTAAAACAAGATTATGTACAAATTACGTGACCCCATGCCCCAGCACACTCATTGGATTAAGATCCAGCACAGGGCACACACCTCCAGGGAGTGGAGAGACACCACACAAAAGAGGCAGCAAAAGAAGTCCTTCTAAACTAATACTGCAACAGTTTTGTTTCACTACAGCTGACTTTACACTGCCCTATACACCATTTTAAATAAAAGGTTTCATAATTATTTCTCTTCAAACTACACTTTTGACAACAAGATTATTGTTAATAAGGTTAAAACCTGTATATTTTACTAGCTTTTCTGTACTGAATTAGAAAATAGACACCACTACTTCCCTTCTGACCCCAAACACCAGGCATTTACATGAAGTACTAA